TTGATATGATAATGTAATCATCCAAACCATTTCATTTTATAGACCATAATGAGTTATGGCTAATTGAATGAAGTCAAGAACAATAACATGACATCGATGGATGAATGGGTAACTATCAAAGTGAAGGGCGATCAAGCACTTCCTACCGCTGTAGAAACTTTATATCANGTATTCATTATGGCCACTGCTCAAATTTCCTTCAAAAGTATTAACAATTTCTTTGAGCTGTTCTTCAGTTTCAATATTTGCAATTTATTTGTCAGGCAAAGATGACGATGCTATGCCTCTTTTTGGTTTAATGCCAAACATGGCTTCATAAGGACTTTGGCATATTCCTTCATGATATGTAGTGTTCTTGGCAAATTGTACAAAGGGCAAACCATCTGACCATTTATTTGTATCGTTATTGTTCATCCATGCAGTTAACATATTCTGTATGTCCCGATTGGCCCTTTCAACTGAGCCTTGTTTTTGACTATGACGAGTCTTTCCATGAACTATCTTAACATCTTTCTACATAGCGCATAGTTTGGATATGACTTGATTAAAGAATTCCCTACCATTATCTGAATGCAATATAACTGAGGCACCAAATGTTAAAAATATTTGAAGAAGGTGATATGCTACTTCTTCAGTTGTCTTAGTTTTCAAAGGTAGTAGCTGGACAAATTTCGTTAAATGACCTTGATACATCATTATGAACTTATATTCGCCATCTTTGTGTGACTGCAGGGCTATCAGATCAACTTGACATCTTGAGTTTAACTCTGAACTGACTATTGGTTTCAAAACAATACCTTTTCTAGGTACACTATATTTCATTTGACTTTGTTTACATAAATTTAAATACATTACAACTTCATATGTAATATTTTTGTATTTAATTTGCAATTTTTTAAGCATACGTGTACTTCTTCCATGGCCTGTTCTGCTATGAGTTTCAGATAGCATACTGAACAATTTATCATTGGTGACATAATACTATATATTCATTTCTCCTGATTTTAATGGTACAATTAATTTTTCTTCATCATTAATTTTTAAAACGTCAAAAGTTTTAATCGTCTGTAATCCAAAGGTGTGCTGCACTTAGTTTTAGCAGAAATCACTTCAGAAAGTATTTTAGAATACTTTTCTTGAGAAAAATAAAAACAATTGTCTTCTTGTTTACTTGCAATTAATGCACATAACTTTTCAAAAAAAAGTTCTTGGTTTACTGCAGTATCCATTCAATATAAATTAGGGTATCAGATAAAAAAATAAAATTTAAGAAAATGTTGCATGCACCAGCAAACCTTGCATAAGACTGACAAACAGCAGTGTTCCAGAGTATAACAAATAGATACCACGTGATTTCAATCACAGCAGAACAAAGGATTTGGCAACAGACTGTCACCTTTCTGTCGATATCAGCTTCTCGGGTGTTGTTTTGACTTCCATCAAAGCTTATCTGTGCTTGTTGACATACACCAGTGATTGTTTGAATGTATATGTCGACATTCACCAGAGAATATCAACATTCTCTAATTTTGGTCTTTCACAGTAACATATACATTGAAATCTTGTTATAACTTCATAGTAATGAACATTTTCAGACTAACAAACTTTTAGATTTTTTCCAACCCACCTTCCATAGGAAACAATCAATTATGTGAACATATTTATAATGACCTTTAACATTCCTATTCTGAAATTTTCACTTTTTGTTTAACTTTCCCTCTTCTTTGCTATTTTCTTCTAACTGATAAACAACTATCCAATAGAGAGGGATGAGTTCATATCTAACAAGTTGCAGATGTACTAACATCAACAAGACACACAAATTATCATAGACATAGGTACAAGGACAGCCATTTATGCTTCTTTTAATTTTGTTATTTATCTTATTCTTAAAGCACAAGAATAAGCATTGAGGGATGTTGGGAGTATTTAATTTAGTAAGTAAAAATCAGAGAGAATGCAAGGGGATGCTGTGGTCAGTTGGTGCCAGAGTTAAGAGACTAGAGGTGTATGTTAAGCAGAGCCAAGTCTCTGTGTATTCCTTTTGTTTTAATAAATTACAAGTAAATGTTGTTAGATTAAAACTGAAAGTGTCTTTATTTATAAGAAACATGGCAAAACATTAACATGATAGCAGAGCGTGGTTGTGACGAAAGATTCAACACAGAAGTCATCAGATTCGTCAAGAACAACTGAGTCACCATTTTGTTGTGCCAGACTAGACTCAGTGAAAAGCCGCCATTACTACATTTAAGTCAGCTTCTTTGTTTCTCTAGCTCATTTAAAATTAATTGCTAAATACTTGGAGATGGAAACAATGAATATAGGTATAGAAAAACTGATGAAAAATAACTGGGAAAACTGGAAGTTTCAAGTTAAAATATTACTAGACAGCAAAGACTGCTGGGAAGTTGTAACTGGAATGCATAAAAAGCTAGAACACCCAAGTTGGTGATAGGCAGTACAGTAACAGGAGAGGCAATTCAGCAATAAGGAATTGTAAGATGTCAAATGAAATATGGAACAAACTACTTATCACGTATGAGAAAAAGTCATATCTGTCAAAGGAAATTGCACTAAAGGAATATCACTTGTTTAAATATGAAGATGGAGAACCTATAACATCTATATTTTCTAGATTAGAAGGAATAAGAGAAAAACTGAGAATCTTTGACAAAACTGAAGATGATGATTCAGTGGTATGCAAAATAATCACAGTCCTTTCCCCAGAATATAAACACTTTGTGATAACATGGGAATCTATGGATGAGAACAGAAGAAATCTTGAGACTCTGATGGCACAATTAAAACTGGAAGAGTTCAGGCTTAAACAGGGAGAGATTGAGAAAGACAATGGACAGGCTGAGGCTGTATAATGTAACAGCAGACACAGTAAAAAGGGGAACTGGAAAAACTCAAAAAGGAACAGAGGAAGAGGAAGAGGAAACTATACAACAACACTGGTATAGTTTGTTTTGGATGTGATAAGCCAGGACACAAACAAAATCAATGTTTTACTATCTGCAGAACCTGTGGAATGAAAGGACATATTGCAAAAAGGAAAAAAGGAGTTAACGTTAGTGTAGTAAACCAAGAAGAAACTGAAGCATGGGTCACTGGAAGAAATCAAATGCAATCCAAACTAGATATATGGATTGCTGATAGTGCAGCTACTGATCATATGACAAGCAGGAAAGAATGGTTCAAATAATAAAAACAATACACCTCTCCTGTTGTGATAAAGTGGGAAATGCTTCTGAGATGCTGGCTATTGGAGAAAGTTCCACAGCTGTGAAATTTTCTCTCAGCAGATGTGCATATAAAAGTGTAGATCTAACAAGAGTGCTTCACATACCCAAATGTGGAAGAAATTTATTCTCTATCACAACATTTGTTGAGAAAGGACTCACTTAAGAGTCTGATAATAAAAAATGTCTTCTAAAAAGAAACAGACAAATTGTGGCTAAAGGTTTAAAAGTTGGAAGACTGTACCACATGCTTATGACAGTAGTAATCCAAAAGGAAGAAGTACATGTAGTGAATGCCATTGACCCCTTGCAACTGTGGCATGAAAGACTGGCACATCAGAAAAAAAGACATGTAAAAGATGAATTAAAGTGAATGGAAATTGAAGTGACTAATAAATGTGAAGATAATATCTCTAAAGGCTGCATGATGGGAAAAGCTCAGGTTGCCTTTTAACAAAAGTGAACCTGGCACTCAAGAAATAGGAGAATTAATTCATGTGGATATTGGAGGACCAATGGAAATTACTTCTATAGGTGGTCCAAATACTACATCCTGTTCAGAGATGATTTCTCAAATTTTTGAGCTGTAAAAACACTAAAAGCAAAAGAAGAAGCACCTGACCAAGTAAATAACTTCATAGCATATATAGAGAATCAAACAGGAAAAACAGTGAAAGCTATTCGTACTGATAGAGGATGTGAGTTTGTGAATCAAAAATTGTCCAATTACTTGTAAGGGCATCTGTCATCAGACAACAGTAGTGAATTCTCCTGAACAAAATGGAAAAATAGAAAGAGATAATAGAACAGTAGTTGAGCTAGCAAGATCCATGCTGTAAGCAAGAGGACTTGACAAAATAATAATCCACAAAAACCTTTATATAACAGTGTTCTGTCCATTATTACTCATCGCAGTGTTAAAGTTAGAAGTCATATTAGGACTTGACAAAAACTTGTGAGCTGAAGCAATACATACAGCAGTTCATGTCATCAATTTGACAGGAAAAAGCAATGTCACAGACAGAACCCCAATTGAAGTATTAACAGGAAAGAGAATCCACATTGATCATTTGCATGTATTTGGCTCCAAATGTTTCATACATGTTCTTAAAGCTAGAAGACAAAAATTAGACCCAAAGAGCAAGGAAGAAATCTTTGTAGAGTATGATCAAAATATAAAATGATACAGAGTTTTGGTTGGAGGAAAGGTTGGAATCTTCAGAGATGATGTTTTTGACAAGGAATTAACAGTAACAACACAACTGAAAATGGATGTGGATAAAAGTGAAATAAATAATCATCCTTGTTATACTAATGAAGAAACTGAAGTACAAGTGCAAATGCAACAAATGACAAGGAAGACTACAAAGCAAAATTGAGAAATAGAGAAACTTTAAAGAGTGTAAAACCATTTCAATTACATGAGCTACCAAGTACAAACATAGCTGAGATTGCAGAACCATCACTGTGTTTGAAGCAGTACAATCAAATGAAAGACAACATTGGTTAGCAGCAATGATAGAAGAATTCTGTGCTCTAATAAAGAACAAGACCTGGGAATTAGTGACTTTGATAAATTTTATCAAATGATAAATAATCTGCTAAATTTTACCAAAACATTATTTTTTACTTAAAAATGAAATAAGCACATGTTGCACATTATTATAAAAATGGTCTTTAAAAATTTTTATATTTCCTAATAATAAACTTACACAATTATTACTATTATAAATTAATTTTAAAAATATTTACCTTCCATAGGGCACATTGGATCAGCCTTATTTACGAAAACTATGTCCACATAAGGTAATTGTAAACGTTCAAGAGAAGCTTCTAAACCTGATGATAATTATGAAATTTTAAAAAAGTGCTAATTTTTTTTTAAAATTAAATAATACATATATTTACATCACAGTAACATTTATGTACTTTCACATATTGCAAGAATTTAATTTAAACCAAAACATCCATTGTGCAAATTCAAAAACACCCTACTTATATATATAAATATAATAAAAAGTAGATATATTTTTACATTCAAACACACTCGTGCTTACCTAATCCAATATATGCATTAATTAAAAACAATTTATAAAAATAAAATAAAATATTAATTTTAACATATTTAAAAATATAAATCTCATGCATTATTATATATCATGCAAATTTCTAGTTAAGATGGCCTAATAAATTTAAAACAACAGTATTGAATACACTCAAAGCAAAATTAATTCACTAACATATTAAATTTATCCGAATCTGTGCTTCGTATCCTGCACTGATTAAAAAGCCAATTCTAGTCGAACCGATGTAAAAACATCACTACAGGAAAACTAAAAAAAATAAATGTCATTTTATAATAAAAAATATAAAATGGTTCTTCAAAAATTATTCAGCCATTTTCTCAAAGAATAAATCTACATGTCAAAATCATATAAAAAATACTACATAAATTTTTCTCTTAAAACTCATCAAAATCAGACATGACTGAGAACAGTTCTAAAAGAAAAATCTATTTTGGTTCAAAGTCTATGTTCATTCTTCATTCATTAAACTCATTTAAGAATTTTTATTAATGACAAAATTCAAAATTAAAAAATACATATTTTTTAGTAATACTGTATTTTCTCTATTATTTATTACTTCAAGTAGAACATAAGACAATAAACCTTATCTTTACTATTTTATATGCCTTCAATAATTAATAAAACTACGTGATAACAATCCAGACTAATTCATAACATATGCAATTTAATAATGAAATTTCTAATAAAAAGTTAATACCTTAAATGATAAAATAATACTTTAATAATTTTAAAATAAAACAGGCAAACAAAAATAAAAGATAAATTCAGGCATAAAAATATCAATAAAATCAATTATTAAAAAATATATATCTGTGTATGTGTGCATGTATATGTGTATGAGTAAAGCAATTTACATTATCTTATTGATTAAAAGTTCGTTCAAGCAGAAAAAATACTTTGTAACATGCTGCAAATAAACAAACATGCTATAAAGCAAGTGATAATTAAAAAATCTAATTTTGCATGCTAGTGATTTCAATGGACAACTTCAAAGAGTGTGGAATATCATTTACCCAAACTTGCCTTCGAGAATCTGTTTCCTTGAAAACCCCCGTTCAGTTTCTGATCTAACATAATAAAAATTTATTTTATCATAAACAAAAACTATTCCTTTAAATTGATTTATCAGTACTATATAATTTATACAAATATATATTTTATTAATGAATACAATTTTCTTACTTTCCTCCCCAAAAGAGTTTTGTAGCAACTATATAACTTGAGCGTCTAAAAGAAAAGATAAATTGTGTAAATATAAATTTTATTTTATCAACTATAGAATGAAAAAATATTTACATTCTTATGTAGTTACTTACTTCCACTCTTTTTTCTTTAAAATTTTTCCTAAGAGAATTTCTGCCCTAGAATATTTTTAAGAATGTAATTAAAAACATTATAATAAGCAAAACTTGGAACCATATGTATTATCTGTCTTTTTCTTAAAACTAGGTGAGGAAATCAAAAACATTCATTTTTTCCCCCTCAAATAACAGCCTTTGAGAAAAAAATAGGTAATAATTAGAAACAAATATAAATTTTATATTTTAAATCTACAAATTAGAAATTTTATTATTAAGCATTTTCTATTAGGAAAAATGAATCTCTTAAAAGCCAACATTTTTCTTCAACTTTTTACTTTTATCAAAGTTAATTAAAAAATCTAACAAAATAAGAAGGCATCATTTCATAAAATTGTTGATAAATATTTTCAAAGTTTTTCTATTTCCTTTTCAGATCTGAAGAAGTAAAGAAATTTTAAAATCATTTATCAAAATTTCCTTAATTGATCCTTTAAAAATAAGATGTATGTTTTTCTACAGACTTTATAATTTGCACATAATTTTGAAATTATATGCAAATTATTATTATAATGAAAAAAACATTTAATGTGCTGGATAAATTAATGTTTCTTCTGTATATGCTACAAATTAAAATTCTGGGAATACAAAATTATTTCACTAATTTTTCATGTCTGCTTTGCCAGTGGGTGGTTTTAGCACAAGTGAGAGACCCAGAGAAAACTTATTAGGCAAATTAATAAACCTTTCAATTTTTCATTATGATCATAAAAGAAATGTTTACAAGTAATTAACTATATTTCTAGTGGCAAAAGTGATGCAAAAAGTTAAAATTTTGCAATCAATTTCAAATTTAGTGATGATTCACTAAATTTGAAATTGATTGCAATCCAGCCACGAATTAAAATTGATTCACACTATAATTATTTTCTGTTTAATTTTTTCTGTGTTTATTTTTTTATTACTTCTGGACAAAGAAAATTAGTCATAAAATAAAAACAACAAATCATATTTATTTATTTTTACACTTAATTTACATAATTGCAATTATGTAAATTTACAGGATTGGGTTAGATCACAAGCACCTGCAATCAAATTATGAGGGTGGCCAGTGAATTTATCAGTATTTCAGAGGGATTTCTCAGTAACCAGTTCCCTATTAAGTCTGAGTACCATATCATAAGCATGAGATGTCTTCAAATGTGTGTTAGTGAAGAGAATATACAGTGGAATACACACAAGTCATACTTGTGTGTATTCCACTGTACTAAGCTTTTGACTTCATTAATGTACACTTGGATTGAAAGTTGTTCAATATTTTCAATTTTCTACAAATGTTAGTTTAAGTAATGTAAAACAATTTTCTATGTTACAGAATTTAAAAAATAAAGCGAAAAGTTAATGTCATTGTTAATTTCAATTTTGTTAATTATTATTTAGAATTAAATTCAACTATTAATTACAATAACTTTTAAATTAATGTAAGTATAGAATAGTAGTCTAACCACTCATCTTTAGAAAAAATTATTTTATATTAATTATTAATAGTTAGCCAAGCTAAAGTCCAAATAGCAATCTAGTACTGTACATTTTGACACAAGAAAAATTTTTGCCAGTAATTCACTATTATCATTTGACATTAATGTTATTTAATGTCAATGTTTATTGTAACAGCAATGTATAAAAAGTCTTTGTTGAATTTTAAATGGTAGCTGTATTACGTATTATATAGGTAAATGTCTCTTCAATCCGAAAGTCATCACAAAACACAATAAAGTCATCACAAAACACAATAAAGTAGATTGAACTGAGTCACTGGTATAATATCAATTAGCAAATTTAAATTTTAAAACATTTTGCATCTTTAAAAATGCTGTACTAGGTAAAATTATAAATTTGAGAGAATTAATAATTTAATATTGATAAAATTTGTTTCTGAAATATTTTAATTCTTTCTGAACCACTCACAGTTATTCTTTGCACCCTCAGTTGGAGGCAGGTGTTAATGAACTAGACTAAAAATGAAAACAAAGTGCAAAAAAATTATAAATTATTATAATTTAAATAGTACTGTTTATCATTTTTTAATTTTCATTTTAATAATTTTGATTGTATAACAAAATACTGTAGTTAATTTTTGATTAAATTTTCTTCCAATTTATTAATATTAATTTGGGAAAATTATTAAGGACAAATTTAATAAATTTATGTTTTTGTAACACATTACATGATTTTTAATGATTAATATGAGGGGCTAGCCGTGGGTACTGAGTAACTATGATCATAGTATCACTTATTCGGCAACTATTCTTTAGAATAGCCCTCTGTTTGTCGAATAGGGATGGTTTTTCTACTCAAAGAAAATCGAGTGCGGAGGGCTTTAACAAATAAGTTCATTTACAGTTTGAATGTTAATTTCAAACAGGACTAGAGGATTTCACAATTGCTCATTCCCTCGTCAGTATTCCCGACACCAGTTAATCAAATTTAGAGAAGCGGATTAACACGTGTTTCTTTCGTAGAGGGAAGAGGTTGGATTCAGACACTTGAGAGACATACTTTTAACAAACAACAACAAAAATTTAATAAGACAGAAAACCAAAAATTATACAATGGAATAATTAAATTAAATGTTTTGAGACAGAGAGCTCACAATTTTCTACTATGATCATACTAGCTTTAGGTATATTTCTCTTCTTCTGTTCTTTAATGATGGACTTCAGTCCTTCGTTGGGTAGGTCTTGTCTGGCACCTTTTTATATATTTTCCTTCTTATTTCTCTCTAACTTAAACTCATTATTAAAGTATGCTGGATACAACTATGGGCGTCAGTCTTCAGGAGATCATATGGAATACGTCTCCTATGAGATCTTCTGGCGTACTCCTAACTAAGGGCGTTGGCCTCAGGGAGCCAATATGGAATACGTTCGTCTTCTATGAGATCTTCTGGCATACTCCCCGAATCATACAAAATTCTTCCTATTTCTCACGATTGTTCTCCAATCAGCCTTTTGGATGCTCTCATGTGAACAGAGGAAAAGGGGATATAACGAGAGGTTAACAATTCCCAGGGTGCTGAGATTTGTAGTAGATAAGGGTAAAACAAAAGGATGTTTCAACTTCCGTTGCAGGAAGTGACTTTTTATCAGTTTTCCCTTGTTTAGAAAAAGCTATTTTCTCACCAAAGTGAAAGAATATTTTTCTCTAAAAATTTAACTTTATAATTAAATTATTAATTAGTCACAGGGGCTATTCAGATCTCACATTAATAATTAAAAATAACTGATTTTTTTTCTCCTTGTAGAAATCATATACCCTAGCAGATTAATAACAGAATAAATTATTTTTATATAATAAAACATCTTAAGTCTTAATAATTTAACAATTCTAAAAAATTAAAATTGTTAATTAAAAATTTTATAGTTTGCAAAATGTGTCAAATAATCATTAGCAAATAGCATTTCCTAAAAACAGAACATTTTTTTATTACACATTGTTTTTACAATAATATTCGACAATAATATTAATGTCAAGTAATGTGATGAATATATGGATATAATTATTCTTGCATCAAAACCGCCATTACGCCAAAACATAAATTTTGTCCAAGTAATCAGGAAATTAATATGATTATTATAGAATATATGAGCTTAGTTGTTTATGTATATCTATAATAATTTGTTAACAAAAATGAAACAGAAAATGTAATATTTTAATGCTTGAAGTGGCAATTAAACTGCATACTGATAATTATTTTGCTTTCAACACCTGCCCTGGATTTATAGTACCATTTACGATACCATTACAGGCTGTATGCAACCACAAATTATCCATGCAAAATTATAATACATATTTGTAATGATTCATAATGTTGTCTACTACAATAAATACAATTATTGCTAGTTCAGAAAAAACTATCAAGCAACTTCAATCTTTCATTTATAAATATTTTAGCAGTGTCTACAATTATGAAACAATTTAAATTATTTAATTAAAAATTAGTGTCTACAATATAATTTAAAAATTCAATCTTGAAGTTTTGCATTAATGTAAAGACTCATCCAGAGCTTTTTAATCAAAAAAATGCCATTTTTGTTACCTTTTAATCTCAGGAAAAATCAGATCAGTACCTATTTTTGATACAATTTCAGTTGGTGCAGCAAGTGCCTCAAAGTTTTGGCCAATTCAAAAATCATTTAAATACTTTTTGTAGCTTCAACCAACAATTTGACTTTGCATAATTTTGCTTACTTTGTTGATTTCAAATAAAATTTTATGCCATATCACCAATCATAAAACAAAATAAATTATGTAAATTTCAGAGATTGTACTTGAAACTATTACAGTTAGAAGAGCATTATGTACTTTAGAAACACTATCTTTCAAAGCTTTTATGGTTTTTATATGACTTTCCCATTGCATATCTGATAGGGGTTTTAAAGTTATCTAACAATTTTATTTTAAAATTTTCTTTCTATTGCTTGAGCCACAAAAATATGTGAATACTATTTAAACATTCCAAGAAATGTTATAATGGAAGAAATCAATTTTGCAACATTGCATATCATAATACTCCAAATTACATAATAAATTAATTTTTAACTATAACACAGCCCAGAAAAGTCTAACAATATTTAATTATTTGTTTTGTTTATCTTTGAAACTATTAATAACTCATTCATTTTATAATAAATAGTATCACTTATTCGGCAACTATTCTTTAGAATAGCCCTCTGTTTGTCGAATAGGGATGGTTTTTCTACTCAAAGAAAATCGAGTGCGGAGGGCTTTAACAAATAAGTTCATTTACAGTTTGAATGTTAATTTCAAACAGGACTAGAGGATTTCACAATTGCTCATTCCCTCGTCAGTATTCCCGACACCAGTTAATCAAATTTAGAGAAGCGGATTAACACGTGTTTCTTTCGTAGAGGGAAGAGGTTGGATTCAGACACTTGAGAGACATACTTTTAACAAACAACAACAAAAATTTAATAAGACAGAAAACCAAAAATTATACAATGGAATAATTAAATTAAATGTTTTGAGACAGAGAGCTCACAATTTTCTACTATGATCATACTAGCTTTAGGTATATTTCTCTTCTTCTGTTCTTTAATGATGGACTTCAGTCCTTCGTTGGGTAGGTCTTGTCTGGCACCTTTTTATATATTTTCCTTCTTATTTCTCTCTAACTTAAACTCATTATTAAAGTATGCTGGATACAACTATGGGCGTCAGTCTTCAGGAGATCATATGGAATACGTCTCCTATGAGATCTTCTGGCGTACTCCTAACTAAGGGCGTTGGCCTCAGGGAGCCAATATGGAATACGTTCGTCTTCTATGAGATCTGGCATACTCCCCGAATCATACAAAATTCTTCCTATTTCTCACGATTGTTCTCCAATCAGCCTTTTGGATGCTCTCATGTGAACAGAGGAAAAGGGGATATAACGAGAGGTTAACAATTCCCAGGGTGCTGAGATTTGTAGTAGATAAGGGTAAAACAAAAGGATGTTTCAACTTCCGTTGCAGGAAGTGACTTTTTATCAGTTTTCCCTTGTTTAGAAAAAGCTATTTTCTCACCAAAGTGAAAGAATATTTTTCTCTAAAAATTTAACTTTATAATTAAATTATTAATTAGTCACAGGGGCTATTCAGATCTCACATTAATAATTAAAAATAACTGATTTTTTTTCTCCTTGTAGAAATCATATACCCTAGCAGATTAATAACAGAATAAATTATTTTTATATAATAAAACATCTTAAGTCTTAATAATTTAACAATTCTAAAAAATTAAAATTGTTAATTAAAAATTTTATAGTTTGCAAAATGTGTCAAATAATCATTAGCAAATAGCATTTCCTAAAAACAGAACATTTTTTTATTACACATTGTTTTTACAATAATATTCGACAATAATATTAATGTCAAGTAATGTGATGAATATATGGATATAATTATTCTTGCATCAAAACCGCCATTACGCCAAAACATAAATTTTGTCCAAGTAATCAGGAAATTAATATGATTATTATAGAATATATGAGCTTAGTTGTTTATGTATATCTATAATAATTTGTTAACAAAAATGAAACAGAAAATGTAATATTTTAATGCTTGAAGTGGCAATTAAACTGCATACTGATAATTATTTTGCTTTCAACACCTGCCCTGGATTTATAGTACCATTTACGATACCATTACAGGCTGTATGCAACCACAAATTATCCATGCAAAATTATAATACATATTTGTAATGATTCATAATGTTGTCTACTACAATAAATACAATTATTGCTAGTTCAGAAAAAACTATCAAGCAACTTCAATCTTTCATTTATAAATATTTTAGCAGTGTCTACAATTATGAAACAATTTAAATTATTTAATTAAAAATTAGTGTCTACAATATAATTTAAAAATTCAATCTTGAAGTTTTGCATTAATGTAAAGACTTTTTAATCAAAAAAATGCCATTTTTGTTACCTTTTAATCTCAGGAAAAATCAGATCAGTACCTATTTTTGATACAATTTCAGTTGGTGCAGCAAGTGCCTCAAAGTTTTGGCCAATTCAAAAATCATTTAAATACTTTTTGTAGCTTCAACCAACAATTTGACTTTGCATAATTTTGCTTACTTTGTTGATTTCAAATAAAATTTTATGCCATATCACCAATCATAAAACAAAATAAATTATGTAAATTTCAGAGATTGTACTTGAAACTATTACAGTTAGAAGAGCATTATGTACTTTAGAAACACTATCTTTCAAAGCTTTTATGGTTTTTATATGACTTTCCCATTGCATATCTGATAGGGGTTTTAAAGTTATCTAACAATTTTATTTTAAAATTTTCTTTCTATTGCTTGAGCCACAAAAATATGTGAATACTATTTAAACATTCCAAGAAATGTTATAATGGAAGAAATCAATTTTGCAACATTGCATATCATAATACTCCAAATTACATAATAAATTAATTTTTAACTATAACACAGCCCAGAAAAGTCTAACAATATTTAATTATTTGTTTTGTTTATCTTTGAAACTATTAATAACTCATTCATTTTATAATAAATTTTAATAAAAAATTTGAAACAGTTGTTTATAATAAATTGAAGCATACTGTTTTATCTATCAATGTATAGAGAATAGTCATACTAAAATTATACACATATCTAATTATATACAATATAATTATCTAATTATACACAAAATAACGATTTTTGAAATAATAATATTTGTTTAGACCCATAAAAGCTGTCAAGAGCTTGTATGAGACCTAAACAGATATAAAAGGCTCCAAAAATTTTAATTATCTAAATACTTTATATAGAATTCATAGTATATTTACTTATAATCACTGGTTTTTTAATTAGCATAGAAATAAAGATGTTTGTCAGAAACTTCCATATCAAAAGGACAGTTTCTAGACAAAATTTTCTGTAATAAAATCACCAAAAAATAAAATATTTAAATGATTTTTTGATCCATTTTAAAATTATTTTGTTATTAGTTTTCTTTGTAGGCTTTATAGTTAAAGACAAATATTTATTCAAGTTTCAATTAAATTTAAATTGTATTACTGTATTTTACAGCATAAGAATACCCCCTTTCAGTACAGAATAGTTACAAAAAGTAATTAGTGTATTTAAGCTATCCAATACCTTTGAAAATAGGTCCAAAATGTATTTTTATTGTATTCTGGTTAAAATTAGAATGCACAATTTTATTTTATCAGAGAAAAAAGAAGTTTAAAAAAAGTAATTACAATTAAAATTTACCATTAAAATATTCTACATTAATACATGCAAAAGCTTAGCTAGAGCAAAAAAATATATAAAAAGCAAGATGTCAGTATTTTATGTTGAATATAAAGCAGGTCAGCATAGCATTCATGTATGATGTTTTAACTGTAAAAGATATAGTTAATACATCATACATGAATACTGTATGTGCTCAGTTATATCAAAAAACATTTTATAATTAAAATTCTGGTATATGCAGTTTGGAAAATTCTTCACATATAAGATGTACAGCAATTTTTTAAGACTTTTCAGACAAAAGTTGTATCTTATATGTCATAAAATACAGTAAATTATGAAGTTAGGAATATCTAGATTTAATAAACAAGACCAATTTGTTAATGTTTAATAAATTGATAATATGCTAATACTGAATATATAGTCATTACATTATACAAAACATACTAAATAAAAACGTCATAAGTTCTAGTTTTATAATATGAATCAATTTTACAAGTTAGAACTTTATAAATTGTAAATATAGATTATTACATATTTACAACTATCTTCTTATATGTTTATAAAAAAAAATAAAAAATTTACTCACTTTCCACCAGCATATATATCTCCTGTATCAAAAAAATTGATCCCACTCTCATATGCTGCAGTTACTATTTCTTCTGCCACCTGTGTAAATAAAAACAAAAATAACTAAATGTCATTATAGATTTTTTTAAACATAATGTATTATTATTTAAAATGCCTTGAACAGAATTATAAACATAAGCATTTTACCATGTCTTTATTTTTATTATGTGATAATCATTTATTATAAAAAGATTAACATTTTTTATGCCAAGAATTTCCTCTTAAGATATTTAAATGTCAATAATTATTTTTCAAGCATTTTAACATATTATAAATAATTGATATTTTATTTTATTTACAAAATAAAAAACTGGCAACATAAAAAAGCTGGACTTTCCAGGCATTTTTTATTTGTTTACATCCCTAACAATTGCTACCATTACCTTTAAAAACCATCTTCAGATGTACATAAAATTACTAATATGAATGATTATGCATAAAATAGAAGTTATTCAACTATTTTAAAAATATTACCCTCCCCTACCTCTTCAACATGTAAAGATCTTTCAGTCTAATTTTCATAAAAATATTTTATCAAAATTATCAATTACCAAATAATTTTCACAATTATTTGGTTTATAAATATAGAAATTTTAAGACTAATCAACTATAATTTTTAAAAATTAAAAACAAAAAAAATTATTTTGTGTAGTGAAGATGCAAAATAAGAACATTTTAAAATAAAATATAAATAAATAACAATTTTCTAATTATATATTTAAAGTAAAAAAAAGGCCAAATCTTGACCTAGTAATAAAAACAAATAACAAAATCAAAACTTTTTAAATATTTAAAAATTACATAAAAATATCAAAAAATAAAAACATTAAGCAAATTTAAAATATAATAGATTCTCATTTTTTTAACACAAAATAAGATTTATTATTTAATAGAAGATTATATACTGAATTAATTTTAGAAATTGTACAATAAAAATGTAACCTTAATGAAATAACTAAATGATAAAAGATAAATATATAAAAATCATAAAATAGCAAGCAGAGAACAAAATAAAACTTACGAAATAAGCATTAATTACTAAACAAATTTTAAAATAAAACATGGACATAATAATGACCTTATTTTTAAAATACTTTATTGTAAAACATTTTTATACAGTGGAACCTTGCTTAACGAGCACCTCACATAACGAGCAAAACAAATTTGTAAAAAATGACTCACTTAATGAGTAATGTTTTGCATAACAAGTGACTAGAAGAGATGTCCCAGTTGTGCGCATGCTCCATCAGTCTGTGTTTAGCACTCGTTCTGCTAGCATCTTAGTGTTGCTCGTGATCACACATTTTTCCAAACTTGTGTTCACACATATTACATATAAACATCAACAACCATAGCCTGTTATATAATTAATAAACATGCCAAACAATATGCCAAATTCTTGGGCTATGGGAAGACCTATAATTAAATATTAGAAATTAAGTAATTTGACTAGACATAGGCAGTTATGCTACCATCTATATTAAATTTAATGACCAATTCCAGAAATGTCTAAATTAAAAATTAATTATTTATAATTATTAAATTTAATACGAGATGGCAGCATAACTGCCTATGTCTAGTCAAATTAATTAATTTCTAATATTTAATTATAGCCTTCACATATCCCAAGGATGATTTGGCATATCATTTGGCATGTTTATCAGACATATCTGTGATTTCGTTTTCTGCAAATCAAATTCACATTTCAGGTTGGTTCATTCCACTAGAAGAAAAGATGATGATCAAAACGGTACTTACTTAATTTAAAAAACATGCCTCGTACATTGTTAAGGAGTGTGTCCTTAACAATGTACGAGACATGTTTTTTAAATTAAGTAAGTACCGTTTTGATATTAAAAAACACAACTGCATTTTTTAAAATAATTTTATTCTTACATAAAAGCCTGTACTTTAATCTACTTTTCAACATAATTTCCTCCAATATGAAGGCACTTTTCATATCGTACAACTAGCTTCTGAATTCCATCCTCATAGACACCTGCTGCTTGATTTGCCAACCACTGCAGCACGGTGTTTTGTCATCATTGTCGTCATAGTGCTGACTGCCTAGATGCCTTTTTCAAGTGGAGGAACAAGTGGTAGTCACTAGTCACTAGATCAGGGCTATACATAGGGTGATAAAGTTGTTCCCAGCCATATAATGTGATAAGATTTCGAGTTTGTTGAGCCACATGTGGACAGGCACTGTCATGAAGCAAAACAATCCCCTTACTGAGCTTGCCATGCCTTTCGTTTTGGATGACAAAATCGTAAACCGTCTGTTTTCTCAAACTTTTTCAACAACTTTCTGCACCAAGTCTTCAGTAATGACAGACAGTCGCCCACTAAGCTCCTCATCATGGGCATTAGTAACGCTATCTTTAAATGCTCTAACCAATTTTCTTACCATTCCATCACTCAAAATGTTTTTCCATACACCTCACTAATCTGCCACTGAATGTCAGCTGCTTTCACGTCTTTTGTATTAAAAAAACGAATCACAGCAAGTACTTCTCAATCGATGGGATTTTCAGATGTCTAAGGCATTTTAAACACAAACAAACAAATGTAAAATGAACGAATGCTTCCATAATTGCATCTGTGGCTAGCCAACAGATGTAGGTACTCAGTGCATATTTGCAGAACACCAACTGTAGCACTGCAACGGTCCTATTTTAAAACGATACTTACTTAAAAAACACACCTTGTATATTGTATGATTTTCTATGAATAAACGTTATACACAAAATAATAATTTTTGAAATAATAATATTTGTTTAGACCCACAAAATCTGTCAAGAGCTTGTATGGGACCTAAACAAATATAAAAGGCTCCAAAAATTATAATTATCTAAATACTTTATATAATCTTTGTAATACAATGTTTGAAGATGTGTTCAGCTAGTCAATGATCATGATATTATCAAATAAAATAAGTTCTAATTATAAAAATACCCTACAATAATGGACTGGACAACAAGATGTGATGGCATAAAGTAAAGAATACATGCTTTAATAGGAGGAGGGTCCCCCACATGCTGCAATTACACTAGCAACCCTTCTGGGCATACTTTCAACAAGATTTTGATACACATGGGCATTGGTGTCCATTCCTGCTTCAAGAATGTTGCCAGCTCAGCTGTAGATTTTGGACATGGTTTCTTGGTCCATAAGCGTCGCTCTAACTCGTCCCACAAATGTTCTATTGGGTTTAGGTCGGGACTCTGAGCAGGCCAGGGAAGACAGTTGACATCCATACCTTGATACCACTGCTTGACAGAGGCTGCAACATGACATGGAGCATTGTCATCCTGGAAGTAATATTTGTCCATTCCATAAAATTGCCAGAGCGTAGGAAGAACCTGATTGTCCAAAATGTTCATGTACGTGTAGGTGTTCAATTTACCAAGAACAACATGCAAAGGTCCCAGGCCATACCATGAAAAACACCCCCAAACAAGAACACCACCACCACCACCGAACTTGACAGGTGTCCAGTCCATTATTGTAGGGTAGTGTACATAAAATATTTGAGTATTTTTTTCAGCATGGAACACATTATCGTATTTTACATTAATTAATGTAAAATTTTACATTAATTTTACATTAATTAATATGGGAAAAATTGTTTTGCTTAATGAGTGTTTTGCAATACAAGTAAGATTCTGGAATGAATTATGCTTGTTAAGTGAGGTATGTAATTTTCACTGTTTTTAGACAAACATAAAAAGTAATTAATAAATTTCAAAAACCTTTTCACTTAATCTT